ATTTTGGGCTTTCTAGAAGCGCTTTTTTGCTCCAAATTTCACTCATAGATAAGTTGGAGGGTCCGCCATCACAAGGTTGTCGAATTTCAGGAGTCACCAGTTTGAGGGGACGGTGCCTCCCTTGAGTGAAACAACCCAAGAGCGCATGCACTCGCCGCGCAAAATCGAATGCCTAAGAAACAAAATTTTAGCAAATCAGCGCTAATTCGCAGGTTAGGGCGAGATGACTGCAGATGTGCTTTGAATTACGCATCAAATTTATATCCGATAAGGACCATGAAGAGTACTGCCGCACCTCCGCAAATGTATGAAAGAGCTGATTTTCTACAAGAACGAATTGAAAATACTTACATTGTGCTCTAAAACTAGTTCATCGTTGATGGCGTTGATGTTTGGAGCTGACGAGGACCTAAAATCTCTAGTAAGAAACAAAGTATTGTCAAGTTGACGAGCCAGTGAGTTATTTTTCGGTGTCAAAGAGAAAAAGATTGCGTACGAGGATGTCGTGAATTCCTGTGAAGATTTAATCAAAGAAGGCTTTGGTAATCCACAAGTTGTTACAAAAACTAGTTTCCTTCCAAAAAATAATGCAATGGACGCACAAAATAAAAAATTACCATTACCTGTCACGAGGGTATGGTGCTAAGGGACCACTACTCTCCTTCACTGCTGCGGGGGGTTGATGCCGCTTGACGCCTCCACCTCTGCAACAGATTAAATCAACTCCTCTTTTTGAGAAGTATTTTCGTGTAAACAATATGAGCTGAAAAACTTCTCTAGCCTCTTCAAAGTAAGATCTCCGTGGCTTCCCTCTGGAGTGTGAGCCGGACTAGGATTCGGTTGTAGCTGATTCAATACACTTTCAGCAATCTCTGCATCCTGTCCTTCCATCCGTGAAGCCAACAGGAGAAGACGCTGAGCTAACTGTAACAAAACTGTTTATGATAATTACATTCTTTGTAGGAGCGTACCGCTTCATCTCGCGGCACAGTTTGGATCAGATCACAGAAGAGAGGTGCGAAGGATGAACATCTCTGGTGAAATTTGAACTGACAGAATTCACAACGGTAGCCCTGCAACATTAGTCTTGAGATCTTTCATATAAAGATTAGAAATGACACAACAGTTCTAGTGTAGGTTTGATGGTCGACTTCTTATAGCGCGCTATGTGAACAAAGCCGCCACAAGAAGGCCGACAAAGACGCTCAAGTTAGATGACACAAAAGCCTTAAAGCATTGTATTATAAGAAAACTCACTACAAGCCAGATTGGATTCTTGCACACGTC